AACCCATTAAAATAATGTTATTATGCTTGTTTTAAAAGAATTGGGACTAAAAAAAAAAATTTGGGTTTGCAAGTAATGCAAATCGAAAATTTGACTTTGTGTGCCTTACAGAAAAATGAAAAACTTTTATTTCGGACCGTATTACTAATTTTATATAAATATTTATTTGTAAATATAATCTAAATAGCACTTATGGCACTTAAAAATGCAATATAGATTAAAGCATAGTCAGGTAGTCGATGTGAGAAATAACAACATATTTAAGATTCGATCATCGATTCTAATTTTTTGAATCGATTTACAGCCCTACATAGAATTGAAATAAAAAAATTTCGTTAAATTTGGTAAGAAAACTTGTTTGAAGAAATTTAATGTTTTGCTGATAGAATAGTATTTTTTTTAAGCTTCGAGTGAAGTTTCCACGATAATTACTTATTAAATTCAATGTATTTTAATTCTATACATTTGCAGAACAAAAATAAAAACTTTCATCAGATTTGGTTAGGTAATTGTCGAGAAACTTTGCTTAAAGTTTTTAAAAAACTTTCCTATTAGAAAAAGGAAAAATTAAATGGTCGTTTCCTCTTCCATAGTCAGCAAAGTAATCTCTATGATTTCATAGATGCGTTCTTAAAAATCAATATGGTAGTATAGATGAGATGAAGTGTAAATTAAAGTTTTTACCTCTATAATGCATGCCCTTGGGATTTAGAGAACTATATGAAAAAGTGCATTTATGGAGGTCATATATATTTATGCCCGAATTTGAGTGTGCATTTAAGGTGTGTGCACTTATAGAGGGTACATTACATACGTACGTACGTACCTAATTTTTTTTGCACAACTGCACACGAAGTTTAATTACTAATTTATTTAGCATTATATTTGAATTTTTTATTCATAATTTATTACAATTGTTCTCATAAATTCTGGGACAACTAATTGATGATTATTTAACCGAATCCATTAAGTTTTTGATTCAGTGTTATTGGTATTTATACAACATATATATTTTATTATTATCATTGATATCAGGTATTACAAAGCATATTTATTGTCGTATAATTTAAATAACATTTAGAAGCGTGTCAGTTTAAGTAATAACTAATATCTAGAAATTAACAAGTTTTATGTAGGCTGAATTCTCGTGCGATTTTATGTATTGAAAAACTTCGGCTACTTTAAACATAAGAATAAAAAAACCTTATCAAATTTAGCCGAATGATTGTTGGCTAAATTTTTGTCACTTATTCCAGAATTTACAGCTATTTTCATAATTCCTAGAACACCTGATAAATATTGGCCTAATGGTTTTTCAGCCGATTCGATTAAGTTTGTGATTTCGGCATAATAGATTCAATAAAAATTGATATATATGATCAGGTAACTAATATAAATATTATTGAGTATTGTATCTCTGATATATTACAGAAATATGATATTTTCAATGCATCTTCACTGCAAAATAATTAAAAAAAATTAGAAGGCTTGTCATTTCTAAAAATTGCCAAACATTTGGTGTTAGCATATCTTTATAAATCGGGTTCTCAAGCACTTTCAAAGATATGGATCTTCTGTCATTTTCAGATCCACGTTCACTGAACATGAATGATTTAAAAGATTTTAAAGCTTTAATGAAAAAAAACCTGATTGGTAATTGTATGAATTACAATCCGAGATGGAACTCTGGTTAGGCGTTATGATACAAATAAAAGTATTATTTTATTTATATACAGGATCTTCTTTTAACAAGTACTCCAATTCGCGCAATATGTTTATTATAAAATTCAATCAATGCTAGACAAAGTTAATTTTTGGATTCTCATAGCCCGGCCGGGTCATTGAGTTCAGGAAAAAGAATTTAAATATTATAAGGCGCAGTATTTAAGTTGGCCAGTCAGAATTGAGCATACTTAATACTGATATTTTGAATTGAGGTAGAAAGTTATTAGCAAAAAAACACCATGCTGATTCATGTTCTAATAAACTTGAATCGGAAAGTGAAAAGGCCTTAGCAAGTATATCTTGCAAGAGTAAGAGATGAAAAAAGACATTAATAGATGCGCTTACAAGAATACTTTACTGGCTTCTTTGAGCCTTATAATATGAACATAGACAGAAGAATTAAATGCGCTTTGTAGAAACAATCCCTAACCATTTGAATATTAAATCCACCTTTTTAAATATCCTGATATTGGTTAAAAAATTTGAATTAATATCCGGATAGATCATTGAATATTCATTGAATATTCGGATACTTCTAGTGTTTTAACATATTATGATTCACATGTTGATTTATTTTTTTTCATTTTAAATTAAAGATCGGATTGATGGAAAAGTTTTTAACTGATTGCGCTTTGAAAGAGCACCATACAACTTTGTGTTCAGATAAGTAATTGAAGCCAATTTTGGTCAAAAATTTGTCGCAATTCGCCTGTAAATCTGCTAAACAGATCATTTCTCCAAGGCAAAAAGAATAAAACTAAATAATTTAGTATCATTAAGAATTTGTAAGGAGCTACCAGATGGCCTGTACGTACGTACGTACGTACAGCAAAAATATCGGCCCGTATCATAACTCATACAGGGAGATCACCAAAATTCAGGGCCAGAATGAATCGGAACCCTGGTCGGATGGGCCGGAATTGATCGATTTCGCCCAATATCACTAAGATTTTTACTAATGAAACCATAGTCGTTCATTAAGTAAAAAAGTGTCCAGCTGATAATTTTACTATAGCTCTTGTTAACTATAATAACTAACTCTAAACCCGATCCCGACCCAACTCCGATGCATTACGGCCATTCCAATCCGGAAATTTTAGAATCCTCCTGTAAAAAAATAACAACGATATTTGATCATAAATATCAAAAAATTTGTTCTGTCGTTGAAACGTGCCACTGCGCAGGCATGTCAGCTAATCGAGACTATATAGGCTATTTTTGAAGGATCCGATTTTCAAAATAACGCCCATGAGTAGCGCCGAAGTTATAAACACGTAACTTACATGTAAGTATGTAAGTTAAATAATATATTATTTAAATAGGAACTTTACTAGGAAAAGTCCCTCTGAACTACATATATTTCATAAATAAAAGTTAAAATTGCCAACTTTCAATAATATAATTTAAATAAAAGTTGGTTTTTTTTTTTATTTGTAGAGCTTAGTGGCTTTGCAATCGTATAGATCATATTTTTTATTGTAACATATATACTATAGTGTATATTAATCTGATTGGTTCATTTATAGTATTATATATGAGTGCCGCCAAGGGAAAACCTGTCATCGGACTTTCAATTAATTATATTTTGTATACAGTTAGCCATCTACGAAGAATTATTATGACAGATTTTCCATAGACGGCTAACTGTACACAAATATAATTGAAAGTCCGATGACAGGTTTCCCTTGGCGGCACTCTAGTGTGCAGCGGCCTATAGGCAGGATCACTAATGATCATCACTAATTGCGGATTTTTTATTGGAATCGATGCACAAATACTAATCTTATTAAAAACAAAATTTAGATTTATTGGAAAAATAACTAAATAGAACACTTTTTTTTAAAAAAAATTGAACCTCAAGACTAGCTCTACACTGAAATAGAGCTATTTTTTTAATATTTAGAGCACTAATTATTGGTTTTCTTGATTTCGATTATTAATATTCTTTTGCTTTTTAAAAAAAAAAAAGATTAAAAAAATAGCTCTATTTTAAAAAAAAATTGCACGTTGTTTGATTAATTATTTATTTCAATAAATGTAATTTTATTATGGTAAAATTTATAGCGATAATCATATTAATGTGGAGTTCGATTTACAATACGTATTAATTATATTAGGTCATTCAAACTTAATAAATTGGTTTCCATTACTTTAAAATCCCGAAAGCAATTTTTAAAGCTATCGGGATTTTATTTTCTGGATTTTGAGCATCGGAATTTTAAGTATCAGGATTCTGAGGCAAACTCAAAAATTACCATATAGTTCCAAAAATAAGCACCCCATAATTTTTTTATATCCGAAAATAAGCACCCCTTTTAATAGTTATCCAGATTAGAAACTGGTTTAAACCTGGTTTTCTTGTTCATTTTATATCCGAAAATAAGCACCCTATAACAAAAAAGGGGTGCTTATTTTTGGAACTATACGGTACCATTAGAAAATCCGCTCATTACTAACCCTAACTATATGATTTAACGGGCCGTTTACAGGTCCCTGGGTTAGGTTAGTTTAGGGTTAATTTAGATGCATAGTTTAGGCCAGTTTATTTAATTCTGGTAAACAAATGACGTCATGATATGTTTATCAAATGATTGTCGATCACTGGGTTAACTGTTCTTTAAAGTGTCCCGAAAAACGTTCATAGAAAACCCCGGAAAAATCATAGTCCCGGTTATATTGTATGGTATTTTAGGGAGAGTTAAATATGAAACCGAGTTTTAATCTCACAGATATGATAATATGAACTGTCACTCGTTAAAAAAATTCTATTTTAACCAAATAATAACTCGTAATATATAGAACAAATAATAACTCAATTACTGCTTAATTACTAGGTAATATATAATTATTATTTCACTATATGCTATATTATTTAGTTAAAATTCGATTTTTTAACCAGTGAATATTATATAAATGGCACATTAATGTCAATAATCGAGTTGCAACTAATTTATAGCATCTTGTAATGACTACCTTCTCGTTCAAATTTCATATTAATCAACTAAAACGATACTGTATTTTATTAAATATCTTAATAATATTTTTACCATATACTGTTATTACTCAAATCAACCATATAAATGTCCAAACATATGACGTTGGCCAGAACTGGAAAAGAGGTACAGGATACTCCCTCCTACAGCTATTAATATACCTCTAACGTCGCAAGCGTAACCACGCCTACTAACATTTCTATTACCACACCTATCACCCCACCTACTTTAGCACCTATCACCACACTGCTGAAAATAAATACTACTTTTAAACGATCTTTAATGCAATGGACCTTTCCAATTCAATTTGGAACACCACCTCAAACTTTGAGTATACCAATTGGTACAACATCTAACTTACTCTGGGTTGTCAGTGAATTTTGCATGAATGACCTTGGAACTGCTTGCAGCAACCGAACAACAAATTTTTTCAATACATCTCTTTCAAACACTATTTCAGGTGCTTATGAAAACTTCACAATCGAATATATTAAGGGAAGTAAACTTGAAGGTATATGGGCCAATGATACAGTTATAATTAATAATCAAGCATTCGAGCAAATGGCAATTGGATTACCTAAGGATATAGATGGAGCACAAATCGTCCCGGATACAACTATAGGACAAATAGGTCTTATGCCTTACCAAAATGTAATTCTCTCCATATTCATAATTATTTGTTTTATTTAATTATTATATTAAATTTAAATTGGCATTGAATAGTACATATTAAATAGTTTTGCTGTAAGTAAATTAAAGCTTTTTACAATATTCATTGTTTAAGCTTTTGACGATAATACTATATTATTTAAACAATTCACAATATTTGTTTAGAAACAAATCGTGGGAATTTCTCTTTCAATGAACTCCGAAGGCGCTGGTTTAGGAGGAACAATTACATTTGGAGGAATAGATTCAGGATTTATTATAGGTTTGTAGAAATTTTTATTTCATGGTTTATATTACGGTTTGTGTATAAGTTGCTGGATTGGTCATCTAAGTGGGTTGACAATATTTATTTACCAAAAACTATTTATTAAAATCATGCAATACTTTAAATTTATAATTAATTCATGGTTATAACTATATCAACTCGTTCATTTCCTATTTATTTTCACGTAATCCTTACTTAAATTTCATAAATCCACTGAGATGGCGTAATGACGACCTAATAATTTTACTGAAAAGTCTTATGTGCTATTTAATAATTAAAAATATAGGGGGTAACGAAAATAATATAGTATATCAACATCTTTCTCAACCCACAGATCCAAATCAGCAGTTAACAGTTAATGTTACTAATATATATATAAATAATAATCAAATAAACTTAAATGGGTTAATCTGGTTTGATAGCGGAATCCAATACATCCAGTTAGATGATAATAGTGCTAGAGAAATTGTAAATCAATTACCTGGAGGAAGTTTTTTTAATGGTATAGCAATTGTAGATTGTAACATTTCAGATACTTTTGATCTATCTTTTGAAGTTGCAAATCAAAAGTGGAGACTACCATCAAGCGCGATTAGTAAAGATAAAGTGAGTGGCACAAATAAATGTGAATCTATAATTACTGGCGGCGCTAATAACGGTTCTTGGATCTTTGGAAGTGCCTTTATTGCGGTAATTTATAATAAAATTCTTATATTATAATTGTAATCACAAATATATTTATAATTTAAATTATTTACTTCATTAAAAGAACTTTTATATAGTTTTCGATCAAACAAATTCGCAATTTGGCATTGCTTCACGAAGTGATATTAATTATGGTATTGCTCCTTCAACTCCTACTCCTTCTGCTCCTGCTACTTCTGCTCCTCCTGGCTCTGTACGTAGTTGTTTTTTATAAAACAACATTATATTATTTGATACAGTATTAACATTTATATATAATTTTTTTTTTAAAAAAAAATCAAAATTCACAGGTTGGAATAATGATTCAAGTCCCTGGAAATGATGCAAAATGCTTGCAGATAAAAAGTACAAAAATGGGATCTAAAGCATTTTCTTTGTCTAATAATACTGATTCGGATGGGTTTTACCATGTAGACAAAAATGCTTATCCTGCAATAACTGACGGTTTATATACTTTTTACTTTTCTCCATATTCATTAAATGGCTCGGATTGTCCTGTGGCTGATGATGGAAATATAGCTACTACTCCTCAGTTAAAAGCGAACACTACAACTGATCCTTGGAAAATTACAATAAGAGCCTATTCTGTACGTATTTGTTTTACAGTACAGTATAAGTTTTGACAATGCTATAGTTCTTCTAACTTTTTAATAATCTATATTTTGCAGGTCTCAGTAAAAGTTCATATTCCTGGTGGAGTAACAACAAATTTTGTGGAAATTGATAGAGTGAATGATATTGGATTTGCTTTTTACACGCCATATTTTTATATAGATAAAGTTGATAGCGAAGGGTATTTTCATATAGAAAATTTTTTGGTATATAATGGCTGCCGATATATTTTTTTAGCTACTCCAGAAGTACATACGCCTATTTTAGCGCCAAACCTTACAGTTGATCCATGGGCAGTAGTCATCAACAACACCGTGTGAAATTCATTTTTCAAGTACTCAACGTCTCAAAATTTTTAATGTTCTCGATATAGAAAAATTAAAATTGTATAATATCAAAAATTTTATTTAATGTTCTCAGATAGAGAACATATTGTAATAAATTATGTTAGAATTTTATTAGTGTTCTCGGAGAAAATTAAGTTCAGATCGGCAAAATTTTTTAAACCTTTTTAAAACTTGAGATTGCACATGTGGGTGACTTCGCCGCCCAATTTCAACTAACTAATTATTAGATATTATCCAGTACCTGTGCCTTCGTCACGGGATTGCATAAAATTTTTAAAATCTTAATTTAAATCTGTAAATTTATTTTTAAAATAAAATGTTATTGGTTGATAAATAGTACTTATAACCATATATTAATTATTAATTCAATGCATATAAGAGGCCAAATGTTTATATAAATAACTATTATATTTATGGACCAAAGCAATGTAAATAAAAGCAAAAAATTGAATATAATCGTGATTCAGAAACCCGTGACTAAAATAAGCAGTATACCCATAATAGAAGAAATACTGTAGAAGCGTTAGTTTCAAGTATTCCTAGTTAAATAAGAAAAGGTTGTAATTCAGTGTGAAAGAAGACTTAACAGAACCCGGTACTACCCTCAAGGCCCAAGCTCAAATAACCCGGACCAAATCTCACCACGCCTCTATCGAAGCCTACCAATTTTGGAGTTTCGACCTTGTTTTTCTTTTTAGATTAGTGTGTTTTTTTTTAGTTTAGAGTAAATTAGTTATTATTTCTTTATTAGCCCCACGCTCACACTGTACACCATTTCTCTCACGGGTAATCCATACACTCCTTTTTTGAAATTACAAACTTAATCGAATCGGCCTCAAGTAGCCTGATACGTATATAATTAAATCCCGATATAAACATAAATCCGGATATAATCGTAAATCCGGATTTCCGGATCCAATTATATCCAAATACAACTATTATCATAATTTCTGGGACACCTGTAAAAATTTGCCGAATGATTTTTCGGCCGATCCGGTTAAGTTATAGATTT